TTTTTTTTTTTTTTTTTTTTTTTTTTCCTCGTGTTCTCTTTTCAGATGGATAGAGCCTCAATACTAGGGGATGCCATTGATTATTTGAAAGAGCTTCTGCAACGCATAAACAATCTACATAATGAGCTTGAAGCCACCCCATCGGGATCTGTAATGCATCCAACGTCAAACTTGCATTCATTGACACCAACACCACCTACTCTTCCATTTCGTGTTAAGGAAGAACTCTGTGCAAGCTCGACCGCCAGTCCCAAAAATCAGCCTGCAAGGGTAAGATTTCATAACTTTCTTGAATGATTAATTTTTCATCTGTTAGTTCGACTTTGATGGGAAGTTAATTTTCATAAGCTTCCATCTGACTTGATGTTCGCTGTGTTTAGTTTACTTTTAGGGGGTAAAATTGTTTTGGTGCTAGCATCAATAATAGAATATGGTCATTATTGGCCTGCCGGTGGTGCTAGCACATTGTTGATGAGCGTGAACTGGACTAATATGCCAATATTTACTGATTGCAGCTTGTTATTTTAGTAGTTCCTATGTTTGGATTAGTTTTGCAACAAGATATGTTTCTTGAAATATTGTTAATGGCCTTTTAGAACTCTAATGTTACAAGTGTCTCGTCAATGTTTTCTATACTGGCTAGCTGGGGTTGTAAAACATGCAATGCCTCACAATGGTTCCTTACAAATCTAAGAAAGTTGAGTAATTTGAGATTTGCTAATGTCTTTTCAGATTCTTGAAGTTATTGCTTAGTGCATGATTATGTTAAAAATTTTTTCTCTGGAAGATTGAACTTTCCATTTCTTGTTTGGGGCCGGTTGTAGGTGGAGGTAAGGTTGAGAGAAGGGAGGGCTGTAAATATACACATGTTCTGTGCGCGTAGACCAGGTCTCTTGCTTTCCGCAATGAGGGCTTTGGACAACCTTGGACTCGATGTTCAGCAAGCTGTCATCAGCTGTTTCAATGGCTTTGCTTTGGATGTGTTCCGTGCTGAGGTAAAATTTCAAATTACTCCATAAAGGACATCAGATTTTACCATGATTGATAATCCATAATACTTATTTTTTCAAGATTTTGTTTCACTAATTCGTGTTATATGTACCTGCATGAATATTCGCTGCATAAAACAAAGCATTGATGAGGCTTTTTGTTATTCAACTATTTATCTCAAACCAGCCTCTGCTTATCATTATTTATAGTCCTCATCTGTCGTCATGTTGTATTATTACTTGGTTGACAAAAGAATTTGAACCCTTGAAATGTGAGACCAAATTATGAAAATCAAGGTACTTGCGGGTGAATTCTCAAATCAGAAAACAGAAATTAGATGGATGCGGTTACCTGTGAGCTGGTTGTGAATAATGAATTTCTGCATGACACCTTCCTGCTTGAAAATTCCCATTTCTAAACAGAATAAATAAATAAAAATGGTATGTTGAACAAATTCAGCAAGCATAAAGCTATGAAATTTTCCTGAATTATTATCATGCAGCAGAAACAAGAAATTATAGACCGGAATTAAAAAAGTAGCATTTCTAATAACAATTTTATTTACTTTCATTGAAAAAAAAAAAAAAAGCAATGCAGAGAAGGCGAGGATATTGTGCCGGAGCAAATCAAAGCATTGCTGCTGGAATCTGCCGGATTTCATGGAGTCCTTTAGGCTCTATCTATTTATTTATGTATCTATCTATGGTCGCTTTGGTGTTTGGCAGAGTCAGAATCCTTGAAGCAAAAAGCAGCAATAATGTGTATTGCAACATAAGGATTAGGAACACCACCCATCAATCCTAACTACTTTGTAATGCCCTCTGTTGTACTGTAGTATGTAGTTGTGTTGTTACCTACCCTTGATATGATATTATCCACTCAGGATTTTTTTAATCAATTAATTAGTACTACTAACTGTTGGAAAATTGTGAATGAATTTGTAACTGAAAAGAACAAATAAGATCGAGCTATCTCAAGACAGGTAGCATCTGTCCGAATTGCTTCCTTCCCTTCCTTTGCCAAAGAATGACCTCTCGTATTTGACTGAAGGGCGACAAGAAGCCGGACACAGGTGTTTTGAAACGTGTCTTCCACTTTTAAGACAAAAGTTAAAACTTGGTTTCATTACTTTGAAACCATGTTTTTTCATTTTTGATAAACTTGTAACTTGGTTACATTTAACTTAATTTCATTAAGTTTGTAATAAATGGTTTCATTAATGAAGTAACTTGTCTTATGACTATATAAGACTTGTCATATTGTGAAGAAAAAGAGACACGAAACCAAAGAAAGAAAATAAATATTTTCAAAGTCTTCCCTCATTTTTCTTAAGTGTACTGGTCCAGGTATAATTTCAGTTCGCTGGATTTGTTTCGGTTTTTCCGTTGTATCCTGGGAAACAGACGCTTATACGGGGCGAATATGTTTTAAGGACACTGTGTTTTCACAGGCCTCGGTATTATATATTTAAGTCATCTTATTTTTATATTCTCGATAAAGTTCCCTACAATCTTAAAACATATTCGATTAAAGATGGTTGCCGAACAAAATACTATTGGCGTTGCTAATACCGGTGTTGCTACTACAATTTCTATTTCTCCTTCTGTTCCTGTAAATCATGCTGATAAACCGAAAAAATTAAATGGCTTGAATTTCAAGCGGTGGCAACAAAAGATGTTGTTTTATCTTACTACGTTGAACTTTGCGAGGTTTTTGACGGAAAATCCTCCAAAGTTGGGGGAAAATCCGGATATTCAAGCGGTTAGTGCGCTTGATGCATGGAATCACTCGGATTTCTTAAGTAGTTTTTATGTGATGAACTGTTTGGCTGATACACTATACAACGTATACAGTTCTATCAAAACAGCGAAAGAGCTGAGGGAATCTCTGGATAAAAAATATAAAACCGAAGATGCTGAGGCCAAGAAATTTCTTGTAGGTCGGTTTCTGGACTACAAGATGGTTGACTCGAAGACTGTAATCAGTCAAGTGCAAGAGCTTCAAATAATGTTGCATGATATCTATTCCGAGGGAATGGTTGTGAATGAAACTTTCCAGGTGGCTGCCATAATTGCAAAGCTACCACCGAACTGGAAAGATTTCAAAAATTATTTATTACATAAGAAAAAAAAGATGACCGTTGAAGAGCTCGTTGTTAGACTTCGAATTGAAGAAGACAACAAGGGCTAGGACAACAAAATGGTTAATCCTCATTTTGCCAAGGCTAATGTTGTTGAGCATGGCGAAAGCTCAAACAAAAATAATAAGAAAAAAGCTGGCAATAATGGAAAGGCAATAATGGGGCCAAAGTAACAACTTTCAAGATTTTTTTTTTTAGAAATTGTTATAATTGTAATAAATCTGGCCATAAGGCATCTAATTGCAGGTTGCCAAAGAAAAATCAAGAAGCCCACATGGTGGAAAATCTAGCCAAAGATGTTGATGAGATGCACCTCGCCGCAGTTATATCCGGGGTGAATCTAGTGGGCTCAAATCCACAAGAATGGTGGATTGACACGGGTGCTACCTGTCATGTTTACTCAAACAAAGAATTGTTTAATGTCCTTGACGAGACGATGGATGGAGAAAAGCTCTTCATTGAAAATTCTGCCACGTCTGACATCAAAGAAGTGAGAAAAGTGGTATTGAAAATGACATCTGCAAAATATTTGACTCTTAATAATGTCCTTTATGTACAAGAAATTCGTAAGAACCTAGTGTCTGGTTCTTTGTTGATCAAACATGGTTTTCGTGTAGTGTTTGAATCTGATAAGGTCATTTTGACTAAAAACAGAATATTTGTAGGAAAGGGTTATGAATGTAATGAGCTTTTTAAGCTCAATGTGATGAAAATTAATAAAAATGTTAATCCTTCCGTTTATATGTTGAGTCTTCCATTGTGTGGCATGATAGACTGGGACATGTCAATTATCATACCCTGCGCAGGTTAATAAAATTGAAAAGCATACCTATGTTCCATATTGATCAAAACATAAGTGTGAAACTTGTGTTGAAGCAAAATTGACATGATTACCGTTTCAAACTATTGAAAGAAATAGTGAACCACTCGATTTAATTCACACTGATGTGTGTGATTTAAAAGTTGTCACAACACGTGGTGGAAATAAATATTTTATTACTTTTGTAGATGATAGCATTAATTTTTTTTATGTGTATCTTCTCAAAAGTAAGGATGAAGCGATAGAGAAATTTATTCTCTATAAAAATGAAGTTGAAAATCAACTAAATAAAAGAATTAAGGTGATAAGAAGTGACAGAGGAGGTGAATATGAGTCACCTTTTACTGAATTTTGCGCCCAACATGGGATAAGGCATGAAATGACAACACCTTATTCACCGCAACAAAATAGGATTGCGAAAGAAAAAATCGTACTTTGAAAGAAATAATGAATTCAATGTTGTTAAGTTTTGGACTTTCACAGAACATGTGGGGGGAAGCTGTGTTGTCAGCAAATTACCTTTTAAATAAGGTTCCCTGTAAAAAGTTAGACAAAAGTCCATATGAATTATGGCATGGAAGACCACCATGCTACAAATACTTGCGAGTGTGGGAGTGTCTGGCAAAAGTGGCAATACCTACGCCAAAGAAACTAAAGATTGGACCAAAAACTATTGATTGCATATTTATTGGATATGCACACAACAGTAGTGCTTGTCGTTTTCTTGTACATGAATCCAAAATTGAGAAAATTCATAAGAATACGATACTTGAATCTAGAAATGTTTCATTTTTTGAGCATATATTTTCACGTAAGTCTGAAGTGGATTCAAGTTCCACTAAAAGAAATTTGGAAATAATGGAAAAAGATCAAGATGGATATGCTGAGGTAGAACTTCAGAAAAGTAAAAGATGTAGGATAGAAAAATCTTTTGGTCCAAATTTTCTAACCTATATGGTTGAAAGTGAACCACAAACATTTACAGAAGCTGTAAATTCTTCTGAAGGACCTTTTTGGAAAGAGGCAATCCAAAGTGAAATTGATTATATTTTGCAAAATCACACATGGGAGCTAGTGGATCTTCCTCCTAGAAGTAAACCATTGGGCTACAGGTGGATTTTCAAAAGGAAAATGAAACCTGATAGAACAATTGATAAGTATAAGACTAGACTTGTAATTAAAGGTTATAAGCAAAAAGAAGGCCTTGATTACTTTGATACATATTTTCAAGTAACG